TTGACCATCGAATCCTGATAAGGTTTAGCCTTTCAATGTGCTCCAGTGTAGGCGATGTCGTCGGAATACCTAGCTGAGCGTTTGGATAGATTGGAACGCGTTTGTATGAGCCGTTTTGGTGTTTGAAGTACATCGCCGCGGTCCAGTAGTTGGAAAAGTCTACATTCAATGTCAGCGATTGTAAAGAAACTGGAGTGAGGAACGCATGACGTACCTTCAGTGTATGCGCATGTTGTGCAGCTGCCCTGTTCCCCAATATCACCGGCCATCGTAGCGTTGAAAGCATTACCGCCTGCGGAAACGTCAATGAGAGAACCAGAGGCTGTATCGTAAGTCCAACCTACCGACGATCTGGTGTACCTTTGCAGTTGTGTTAGTATATGGTCACCACTACGATCATAACACTAACATGAGACGAGGGTACACGACCAGGCTCGACTAACGGGTCCAGGCGCTGGATAGAAACACTGCTGCAACCAAAGCGGATCGCAGCTTGCACCGCGACAACTTGGAAAAGGAGCAAATGTAACTTCATGTTGTTGTAGATATCTGTGTCTGATCTGGTAATTAGAATGTCTCAGTGTTGATGTACTGCGATGGGAATGGTTCGTAGTGGGTTTTGGAGGAGTATGTCCCACCGAGACAGATACATGCCGCTCTAGAAAATCCGTTGAGAACTTCTCGCATCGATGTATCCGATTCGCAGATGACAATGGTTCCAGCGCGCGACTGCCGGTGGGCAGCGCCAAGTCGTTGATGTTGCTCTTCATATGCGCCGTCCTGTCGGGAAGGTGAATGTGGGGCATATTGATGGGATGATGCGACTGACTCTTTATCCCCGATATGTTGCCCAGACTGTTGGATTTATAGCAATCCATGTAAGGACAGTTGTTCAATCATCCGAAACGGTGAAAGGGAATCGGAACGGGAGTGACAATCGAATGGAGAGGTGACGTCAATGTGAACAGTATCTTGCCCGATAGCACCAGGAGTCTAATGCATGCTCGGAGCGATGCGCAGATCTCAAGATCTCAGTTAGTCAAGGGCTGTCGAGCGTTGAAGAATACATGGGCTAGGAAAGAGTTTCAAGAGCAAAGGGAGGCATTTCATAGGTATTATGACAACACACGTGTTAATTTGTGACACTCTTTTATCGTGATGTATTCGGCCTGCGCTTTCAGAACTACAAGTTTACATGATTGACATAGTTCGGAGCCTTCAGTTGTTCAGCTCTCGAGCCAGAGCGGCAATGCGCATTTGCTCCTTATGCTGCCTCCTGAGGTACCTTTGTTTCCTCAGGGCTACGATGCCTTGAATCCATCGCTTCGTCCTCTCACTGGGCGCACGGTTGACCCCTTGATTCCGCACCTCCTCCACTTCCAGCTCACAGTTGCCTGCGAGTAGATATTTCTCTTTGACAGGTTCAGAGTTACCTCCGAATGTCTTCTCCGCCTCCAATATCTGAGAGTTACCTCCCAGAACCGGCTTCTCTTTCTCCTTCTCTTGCACAGGCTGGGGCTTGCCTCCGTCGGCCAGACCAAGCAAGTCTCCCACCTGCTGCGTTGTTCCTTCCCCGAGGTTGGTAAAGGGTGCATAGCCAGGGAAGTGTGCGGCGATCTTCCTCATGTTAGCCTCCATGTTCTGGACCCTGATTTCCTGCCTGGCAACACACGCCAGCTCATCTTCATCGAGGTCATCACAAGCATAAGCTTGAGCCAGTAGTTCCATGTTGAACTTTCGTTTTCCGTAATTCTCATCGAAATCTATGAAGAGTTAGCAAAGCTACTGTAAGGTGGGCATGGATTACTTACCCTCTATGGTCTCAGATGAAGGCATGAGTGCCCTCCTCATCGCATCCCGGCGGCTGCGTTCGCCCGACATCATAGTGGACGCGAGTGTCAATAGCAGAGCGGAAAGTGTCTTTGGTGGGTGAGCGCTCTGAGCGAGAGAGTCGATATTGCTGTTGATGTTGTTGACAAACGCTCGAGTTAAGTGGGTCTCGACTAGCGCACAATGCGAAGGGAAGGAGCCCTGGAGCCTGGCGAGATGAGAAGAACGCCAGATATTTGATGAAAAAGTTGATGGCTTCGATGTTTCGTGTAAGCTATGTGTGTTGAATGAAGGGGATGGGCGCGTTGCTACGAGGCTTTCGGTCTAGTCAGGAAAGAACTTGCGCGCGAGAATCATATTGAAGAGGATATTAGGAAGGAGAATTGAGAACCAGCGAAATTACTGATGGACAAATCTTATCGTGGGGAGTGGACGAGGGAGCGTGAGTTAAGTTGGAACATAAGCGAAAAGGGAGATTTTGTTCGGTTGCTGGAATGGTCGACAGCCAGCGAGAAGTCCTCTCGAACCTGCAATGATGGTCTACTTTAGAAAAACTGCGTAGATATACGTGCGATAGCGCATGACAGAGTCCAAAACCCTAGCTGCATTTAAAATTGTTCGGTATCTGCCAGAATGCAAGATGTTGCAAACCGATTGTCAAAGTCGTGGAGATTCGATCACGAAGCGATCTCAGAACCAAGCCACAGCTTCCTCGTGGCCACACTTTTCCCTCCAGTCCTTCAGTTTGTGATTGACCACCCAAGCCGGTAGTGGCGTTCTCCAATCATCCACATCATACGGCTCGGCCCACAGCCGTCCATCAATATCTTCAGGCTTCCAAAGATGAGACGTGTAGTCTACTCCAGCCTTGCTGAACAAGTAGCAGCCATATTTTAGACACCTGTGATGACGCCGCTGACGTCGCTGACTCCGATGCTCATCTTCGGAAGTCGGTTCCTGCTCGAGACGGTACCCTTCGACCCGCTGTACGAGCTGCAACGTGTCTAGACAGGGGGGTGGCACGAGCATATATGGAGACATATCAAACCGTGCAAAGGTGTTGTTGTTATGTTGAAGTAGGGTTTGGGAGCGGTATTGATAGTCGATTCGGATGGTTGCTAGAAATGGAGCTTTCTGTGCCAGCACAGAGACAAAACGCCGCGTAGTGTTCCACGTCCACTCATTCAGGTCTTCATGGCTGTTGGGTACGAGAATCGCGACGTGCCTGATGTAATGGCTGAAAAGTGTGTCTAAAGGTAGCGTGCGACGCTTGCGACTGGGTGGTGATTGATGCGGTTTATCTACAGGGCAGGGTCGTAGGCGGTCCCGATCGCAGATTGTGACGAAGACTCCTTGTTTCTCAGTGATTTCAAGAGACTCTTCTCGCAGACGAGGATGAGCATGAAGTAGCGCGAGAGTCGGTGCGTTGTGGACGCGGTACAGGAGACAGAATGTAGGGAAAAGACTGGTTTCACACCAGTCAGATTCTCCTTCAGCTTGCAGGTACGAATATATCAAATCGCGCAATTCTCGAGGAAGAGTAAGGAGGGTGGAGGGTTGGGGTGCAGAGTCAGGCATGGTGATGATGGAGTACAAGTGGTGACAGCTGCGCTCGGTGGTGTCGAAGTTGTTTCAACGTGCAGGCCTAGTATGATGCTATCGGAGCTTACCGAACCTTGCACGTACCTTGGAAGTACCTAGGTAGTGGCATCGTGTGCGACTCGCAACGCAGGATCGCTGGCACTGTTGAGCCGTTGGGCCGCTCGGACCGTCAAGCTCGGTATACCTCGGTAGGCCAAGACGGCAATGGCGGCAACAATTTGAACTCCTTGGCGCAAGTTCCCTATCACCCGGTCCGGAAAAATGGCCGAACTCCCAAAGCTACACCTTTCGTAGGCCTATATCTCTTTACACCCTTATTTATTTGTTTTATTCTTGCAATAGAAGATAAAGAGAATTATATGCTCTATTTTTCTAGCTATTAAGCTTCTTTTATTCTCTTATGGTTGTAGAGTAAGAAGAGCGCAAAGAAAGGTAGAGTTTCTTGTTCTACCTAGAGCAGGCCTGTTTCAGTAGTGTAGAGTCCAGCCATTTTTCTAGACTGGGTGCCTATGTAGAAAGAAAAAAGCTCGGCAGTACTGTTGATACATGGGATAAACGGCATTTAAGAAAACTCCACCCGGACACCGCCGGAAGTCGCGCGGACACAAGACCGACTGCTGCCTGGGAAAGGCGCAACATAGAAGAAACTCGCGCTCCAGTGTTCCTAGTCTCCCCAACATGGCGAGCGACGATCCATCTCTTTACCCTTCAGTGGCACTCGGTCGATTACGCATCCCAGGGCCAGCAATCCCAATCATCCTAGTTGGCTCCCCTTTCTTCGTGCGACGACAAACTTCACGACAAAAGAAAGACCTTCAAAATTTACTGGTGGTCATACACATTTTGCTATACATCTACAACCTCACGGAAATTTTTGGCAAGAAAGAGAAAGAGGGTGAAGGTGACGAGACATTGCCATTACTGGAACACCTCGTTCTGGCCTTCGGAGAACCTGCCTTACAGGAGGTACAGACATCTGTTTGGCCATACATATCGGTTGCCGTGGGATGGATCTTGTCTCGAGCGCTTGCTCACCCTCAGAGGGTGTGGATCTCTATCGTGCTATCTCTTCCCAGTGCTCTGAGGATGAGCAAGCAAGTCAATGTTGGAGTTAACTTGAGTGCACTTTCACTGCTCACCAGAATGACTTTCGTGGTATCGGGCTCTGAACATGGGCTCTCAATGGCGAATGTTGCTGGTGTTGCCCTCCCTGTGGCGCTGGCAAGACTCTGCTATCCGCTGTTCCTCAGGAAGCTTTGTCGAGCACTTCAAGTCCGGCCTCGACGCGTGCTAGAAGATAGCATTGGAGAACAATGTTTGAAGTGCATCCAGGCGCCATTCGCAGTATTCACTGTCGCTGGTGCGGGGTGGATAATAAGCAGCTTCGTCTTCTCCTGTTTCCCATGGCGAAGGCTGTTCAATGAGGAGGCGTCCAGGGCTCCATCGTGGACTGGGCTCTCGTTTGCTGGAGGGGTTGTGTTCCTTCCTCTTTTCTCGATCGTAAAGTTCATGAGGGTTCGAATTATAGGGAGGGAACCTGCAGCTGACTTGGGCGCCTTTGTGCAGTATCAGTTGGGAGACTGCGTGGCAGCGACGTGGTGGGTGAGCGTTGCATATATCTTGCTGTGGCTGGGGTCGGAAGCGCTCTCATGGTGCGGCAAAATGTAATCCTAACTTATTAAGATAATTAAGCTGGTAGCTTTATTAGTATTTAGATAGAAGAAAATTTAATCTCTACAAAGTGTGACACAAACTAAGGCTTAAGGCCGTCGCTTTAACTAGTATAATGCTATTAGAGAGCTTGCCGAACCTTGCACGTGCCTTGGGAGTGGTGGCATCGTGTGCGACTTGCAACGCAGGATCGAGTGGTGTTCATGCGACGATGGAAATAGTAACTGAACGCTTCATTACATAGATGGGTATAAAGCTAAATCCGATGCGCAGCCTTACATGCTAGCATCACGCTGTCCTTGCGACTCTAATCGCGCCTGCGACTCCCACTCCTACTATGTGTCCTACTCCGTGACCGGCTCCGCTCGCCTGGGCTGCGACTCCTCTCGCGATCACGACTATCGTAGCTTCGACTTCGACTTCTGCTGCGGCTGCGACTACGACTGCGACTGCGACTGTCGTAGCTCCGACTCCTGCTCCTGCTGTCATAGCTCCTGCTTCTGTAGCTCCGCACACTCCCATCGCTCCTTCTGTCTAGTTCCTCATCCAGCTCATCGATTTCGTCACCCAACGGACTCTCCCTCGGCTCTAACATATCCAAGTCCTCCAAGTTCGCCCGCAACGGCAACTTCCACAGACTCGTCGCGCACATGCGGTCTTTTGTGAGGAGGTCATCGATGAACTGATCGACGTACGTGAGGGTAAAGGCATCCTTGAGGCGTCGTTTTATCTTGCGGTAATCGGTGAGGAGGGGTTCGAGGGTTTTGTAAATTTCGACGGGCTCCCAGGCAAGGCGAATGTAGAAGGCAGCGAGGCACCGCAGGTATTTGAAGTCGCCGAGTTTGCCTGCAGCGTTTAGATCGAGCGCCTTCTTGGTTGTGTCTTCGTCCTCGGATGTGTGGCCGTTTTCCTCCTTCTTGGCCTCGCCATCCGGTGATCCATCTTCCTCGTCGTCGCGAAAGTTGAGGTATTCAAGGATAATTTCCTTGTCCGGAACTAGCTGCAGCATCTTGAATGCTAGACACAAGAATGGTGTAGGCTTGCCCGTAATGCCAGTCGTGCCGCCGATAAACTTGAGGTCGGCCGCGCGGTCGCACAAGGTCGCAGCGTTCAGACCGAAACATTGCTCTTTCCAGTAGTAGGACTCGGTGATGCGCTCGCGTACACCCTTTTCGAAGAGCAGCGCCGGGTTCTGCCCTCTGATGAGGGCTCCGCGATAGCCTCGGTCGTCGAGGAGCGCGCTGGCGTCTGCGCGGTCGAACTGCGGTTTGGCCATGTGGGGATGCCGAACAGTCGTTTCGTGGCTAGTTTGAGGTCGAATGGCCCTTGGATATCTTCGGAAATGCGCGTGCAGTATTGTGCGGTTTAGTGGTTTGGTAGTTCGATGGTGCTGCGGAGGAAGCTCGCGTTGATGGTTGCGATAATTTGAGCCGGGGTGCTGCCAGCAATCGATAGTTGCCTGCTCAACACCAGCGATCAACATGCAGCCCTACGGAATCTAGATCCACGGGGCACGTCACACCCGCCCACTGCATGCGCTCTCCTGCACGAACTACTCTTGCCATTCTACATGCACACTTTTGAACCATCATAGCATTCTTATACCCTTCGCATCCAGCGTTTACTTGTAGTTATGGGGAGACTTCTCCTTACTTCGAGCCAGGTCTCTGTCATCCTGTCGGCAGCCATTGGTACGCATGGCCCACGACGGGCACGCACTCGCATTCGCTGACAGCCGCCGGTAGTTCTTCTCTTCACACTCGCCCTCTTCCTCTCGGGCTGGGTATTACAACAACGATACGTGCATTCTCTACAAGCCGCCATAAAGCCCCGATTACCCAAGCCTCTGCCCCCGCCCAAGCCGATAGAACCTCCGACATTGGACGTAAAATGGGCAAGACCGATGGGCGGCCGTCCGGAGGTGGACGAGACATATGCGCAGTATATTGCGGCGCAGACGATGGACTGGAGCCGCCTGGGCTATGTGCAGGTGGTGAGAGAGCATGTGGAACTTTGCAGTGCCGTGATGCTGCTGTCTGATCTACACAAGATGAAGAGCCCGGCCAAAAGGATACTGATGTTTCCCAAACTGTGGCTGGTAGAATCTGAAGACGACAAATACGGCCCGCAAATGTCGACTACACGGCGACTGCTGCGAACGGCGGCGAGGCGGTATGGCGTCACTTTGATGCCCATGGAGCCTATTGTGGAAGGCGCAGACGGTGAGTGCTGAGCCCAGGAAGCTGCCCGCTGCAGTGACTAACAGAGCCAGACACACTGCCCTCTTCCTACTCACTAGCAAGTCTGTACTCACTGGTAGACTACGAGCGGCTACTCTATCTCCAAGGTCCGGGCGTGCTGCTCGACGCATCGGCTCTGGACTCACTGTTGGCTTTCTCCAAGTCAGAGCCCATGGCAGCGTACCCCGCCACGCCAGAACGAACCGACATGTCGACATCACTCTTGATGATACACCCGTCACAACAGAGCTACAACCAGCTGAGGACAATGCGCACGACAAATCCGACGTCGGACCTCAACATGTTCCGCAAGACATTCACGGTGCCGGACTCATTGATCTCGGAGTGGTCGCTGTCAATGGGCAACGTGGTCTACGAATCGCAGAACCTGCGCAATGTCGTCGACGACTTCAACGCGACGGCATTCGAGCAGGCGACGACGTTCGTGAGGCTGTCGGATCCCGAGATACCAGGACCGGAGTACGACATTCCTTTTTCTGAACGCGCCAAGCTGCGGCCTCAGAACGCACAGGCGCAAGAGGCGTGGAGCAAGCTGTACGAGAGATTCCGGCAACGGCGCATGGAAGTGTGCGGCCTTGACCTGGAGACGTACCAGCCGATCGTGGTGTCTGGTGGGGCCGATGAAACCCATGCGGTGGCTGATGAGCTGTGAAACGGCCAGGTTTTCTTTTGACGATGCAACGTGTGCCATTTGGGCGCTTTCGAGTCATGTTTGCGCAATAGTCTTTTGGGGTGTTTGTAGATGGGCCGGCGTTGGGTATAATCATGTATGTGTATTGGCGCGCATTGCTAGGCGTTTACGGGTTCGCGACGAAGCGATTCGCAGTATAGGCAGGCTGGGTATAGCAGCCGGGACGACCACGCATGGTACGCATGACGCAACAACCAGCGATGCTTCGCGTGCAGCCCGGGCGGGCATGACACGATGTAATGAAGGGATGAAGACATTGACACGTTAGTTTGGATGGATGCATGCCATTGACTGCGGGCGCAAACACGGTGCCAGTGCAGGCGCGTGAAACATGGCTCTTTGATGAGCCGCAGGCGTCATGTTGTTGCCAATGCCGCCCGCGCGTGGTAGCTGCGACGCTTCTTCCCCGCGAGCGAGCGTCTACTGTCTAGCCCAACCTCCACCCATCACCTAGCCCAAAGCCTGCCTCGCCCGCCCACGCCGCCGACACTCCTCGCTGCTCTGCTGATGCCCGCGCACCTGCACACCCACTGCCCCTGAGCGCATCGCCTGCTGCCGTCTGCGCCGCGCCCCCGTCCCGAGCTCCCCGCGCATTCCTGGCCCCAGTGCTTGAGATCGCCCGAACTGCGTCGAGGAACAGGCAGGGCCGCGCCGCCGCACTCGTCGCGCCGCCCCTCCAATGCCTACCCTGGGCTTCCTCAAGAAGAAGCGGACCAAGGACTCGAACGGCTCCAAGGACCTCGATTCGCCGACGTCGCCCGTCAAGGACGCCCACTCGCCCATCACGCCCACGACGTCGCGCAAGTCGGGCTCCTTCCACCTGCACAAGACCAAGACCAACGAGTCGCTGACCAACACGGCGAGCAACACCAGCTCCACGGCCCCGGCCGCGCCTGCCGCCCCCTCCAAGCCGTCCGACTCGATGAACCCCGCCTACGCCCACCAGCAGCAACACCAGCCGCCGACGCCCTCGCACAATGTCCCCAGCATACAGAACCTGATACACCCCAGCAACACGCCTGCCCACGCCGCCGCTCCTAAGCATGCCGGCGCCGTCCAGTTCCAGACGCAGCCCCTCAACCAGGCGCGCGTCACCAAGGGCAAATACTCGCTGACCGACTTCACCATCCAGCGCACCCTCGGCACCGGCAGCTTCGGCCGCGTCCACCTTGTCCAGTCCAAGCACAACCAGCGCTTCTATGCCGTCAAGGTGCTGAAGAAGGCCCAGGTCGTCAAGATGAAGCAGGTCGAGCACACCAACGACGAGCGCCGCATGCTGCAGCAGGTCAAGCACCCCTTCCTCATCACCCTGTGGGGCACCTTCCAGGACTCCAAGAACCTCTACATGGTCATGGACTTTGTCGAAGGAGGCGAGCTGTTTAGTCTGCTGCGAAAGTCTCAGGTATGTCGCATCCGTGCCTGGCATCATGTATCTGATACTAATTCCTCCAGCGCTTCCCCAACCCCGTCGCCAAGTTCTATGCCGCAGAGGTTACGCTCGCACTCGACTACCTGCACTCTCATAACATCATCTACCGCGACCTGAAACCCGAGAACCTGCTGCTGGATCGCCATGGCCATCTCAAGATCACCGATTTTGGCTTCGCGAAAGAGGTCCCCGACATCACATGGACGCTGTGCGGTACGCCTGACTACCTGGCGCCAGAGGTCGTCGCGTCAAAAGGCTACAACAAGTCCGTCGACTGGTAAGTAGCAATGTCTCCCCCGGCTCGAGTCGCACTAACAACGCCAGGTGGTCACTTGGCATCCTCATCTTCGAAATGCTCTGCGGCTTCACTCCCTTCTGGGACGGTGGCTCCCCCATGAAGATCTACGAAAACATCCTCAAGTCGAGAGTCAAGTACCCACCATACATCCACCCTGACGCCCACGACCTGCTGCAGAAGCTCATCACACCCGACCTCACCAAGCGACTGGGCAACTTGCACGGCGGCAGCAAGGACGTTATGAACCACCCCTGGTTCGCCGAAGTAACGTGGGACCGACTACAAAAGAAGGACATTGATGCACCTTACGTGCCACCTGTGCGAGCTGGCGTTGGCGATGCCAGCCAATTCGATAAGTATCCGGAGGAGACGGAGGCATACGGTCAGGCAGGGGATGACCCGTGCGTGCAGAGTCCTCCTTATACTGTAGACCACATTCTGACGTGTCCGAATAGCCACGGGCACCTATTTCCCGACTTCTAAACCCGTAATCGAAAAGAGATACGATATGCCTCTCCTTCAGAATCCAACTAGGTACGGCGATCCTGGTCTAGTACCCGTCGAAAGTCCGCGCCATTCGTCCTACCGTACTTCTCTGACCTTGACCCTCTCCGTGCTCTATCTTCGCGCGATGTTGATGCGCGTGGAATCCCTTATCGTCTATTATTACTCCTATCTCTTGAATGCTGGGTGCCATTGGATATGGTTCGGTGTACATTGTTGGGCATGAATGACGGTGCATGATTGTTAAACAGTAACCGCCCGATCGAGCGCGGTAATTGAATTAATAATACGGAAACCTTGGCTGGCTCTCCACCCTGAACTTTCTGTCTTGCTATGAGAGATGATGCCTGTACTAAAACTTAGAAACGACGAGCATTGCAAGACTTGAGTCGAGACTCATCCTCGTTTGGTAGCTATCGATTCCTTGTGCCGTACTTTTGTGCGCATCTCAGATTAGTGCCATCCACGCCTCGCTCCATGCAGTGCCCATCTGAAATGATCTGAGACTGTTGTATACCTACTGCTTCAGGAAACATTGATTATCCATCGAACGATGCGAAAGTCGAGGTGAAACTGTTCAGCTCGCCTGCCATGAATACTGACCAAGTTGCTCAAAGTCTGTGCCTCTATTACTCCAAAATTGCTGCAATCAACACTTGAGCGCAGATTACCTGGTTGAGAAGCATCCATCTGGCAAACCTCACCTCAATTATGAGTGAGGTGAACATGCGTAGAAAGCCGAGGACCAAGATGGTAGTGGGTGAGGATCCTCGCGATACAGAAACACACGGGCGAGCAAGGGCTGCCCAGATTTTACAGTCCACAAGGATACGACATACGACAGGAAGAAGCATTTCCCATTCCTTAGATACATCTTGGCCGCATCATAAGAAAATGAGAGGCGTAAGAGGTCCGCGGACTCATTGACTGCGTCACGGCCGTGCATAGCTTGGAAGCGTGGCGGCTTGGTGACTGAACTTGTGGGTGACTATTGCGTAGGGCATGTCTTTGTCGGCACAAAAGCATCAGCCATCAACTTTCAAATCACTCTACCATTCATGAATCCTTGAAAACATCGAGAAGTTATTCGCTG